TGAGAAACTATTTGTTCTGTAAGCCTTCACCTGTAGTACAATAAAAAAAAAAAAAAAAATTTGACCCAGAAAATAACTGAACAGAAGAAAATGGGTTGGAGGGGGGTACAGGTGGGGAGGAGATCAGACCAGCCCTACTATTCGATTATGTTATTAGTGATAATAAAATAGCAAGAGATTTAAAAATCTATTTTGCAAGACAGAAATGGTAGTCTTGATTAGTGCTGGCTTTCAACCTTAGGTGCTTTATTATTCTTCTAAAAGGAGAGATGACAATCTCTACCTTGGAAAAAATGGAGCCACTTAAAAAGTGGAAGCCACGTTGGCCAACACGTATCACTTTGGTCACAGGTGACTGTTTATTTTGTCAATTCCCTATGCAGAGACCTGAGTGGTCATCTGGCCATAAGTGGAAATCTCACTAAGTCAAGACCCCAACAGTCACAGCCATCTCTTTCCTACTGCTGACGCTAATCAAAGGGAGAAACAATGCCCTTTAAGCCTGATGATCATATTTCATCTTGACATAACATCAAAAGGGTGAGACAGGTCAGACAATAGCTCCTCTGAAAAAAATGCAGTTGAGGACGACTTTGCAGAATGCAGGGGATTCTGTTTTTGGAAGCAATTAGACTGGTGGTTGTAGATGGTGGATATAATGAGTTTCCAAGTCACCTTTTTATCCCAGACACTCACTGCCTCCATCTCAATATTGCCTTCCTCTGTGGGTCAGGTGGGAGGGGCTCTGGGTGGTGAGAAAGGTCCAAGGTTGAATGTCTGGCTGCCGTGACTTACCTGTTGAGATACACCCGCTTCTCGGTGAACTGCCCATTGCCATGGTGAGGGTCATGGAAGGGCTCATTCTGGACGACCTCCACCCCTTCTCCTCGGTCACTCTGTTCGTGGCTGTGCTTGCTGATCATGTACAGCTGTCCGATTTTATACTACAGAACACACAGAGACAGAGAGGTCAGCCCCACTGCCTGCCTTCCACAAACCCCCCTTCAACCATGGTGCAACAAGCAACTAATAACCAGGGCTTCAAACCGGTTCATTTCAGATCAACCCCCTGCTGAGAATTTGCATTTCTACCCCAGATGTACTGAATCAGAATCTACATTTTAACAGGCTCTCCAGATGATTCTTATGTATACATAAGAATCACCTGGGGATCTTGTTAAAATGTAGATTCTATTCCAGTATATCTGGAGTGGAAATTAATGAACTGGTTCGAATCCCTCCTAATAACATCAGCACCCTCTGCTGAGAAAAGAAAGCAAACACTTTCACTTTTCCTGGAGAGCAAGGAGGAGAACCAGGTGTGAACAGAATGCAGAAATGGTGCTTCGCACGAACATTTTTCATCACCTTCGAGATGCTTGCTGGGGTGGAGGCCTCTAAGGTCTGGCTGCCGACTAACCCTTAGCTAATAGCAAGGGAAGGGGAAGCACTAGTGTCTCCCTTTCCATTCTGGCCCTATCAGGTTACATGGAGTTAAAGTCCTGTTTTTCTTGGCAAAAGACAGGTTAACCAAAACCAAACCCATAGGACATAGGACAGAGTAGAACTTCCCCATAAGGTTTCCAAGGCTGTAATCTTTACAGAAGCAGACTGCCACATCTTTCTCCCATGGAGCAGCTGGTGGGTTAGAACCACTGACCTTTTGGTTAGCAGTCTAGTGCTTTAACCACTGCTCCACCAGGTCTACTAAAAAGACAGGTTAGGGCATGTTATTTCTGTCCTTTCTTTCTGCCTAATTAACAGCACTGCTGGGTTCAAGAGGAGTGGATGTCACTTGCCTCTTCCATCACCCCTCTCAAGGTCTTCAGCTCTCCTGGAGGCCTCTGTCCCCTAGAGAGGCAGTTCTCAAACATGGCTGGACACTAGAATCACACAGAAGCTTCTCAAAACTCCAGTTCCAGGCCCCACCCTAAGTGGAACCAAGTGAAGTGTGTTCTAGGAAGTTAATCGACACTGAGGATCATCTACAGTACTCTCTAGCTCCTTTTTTCCATCTCCACTAACACTTGGACCATTCCAGGCTGAGGTCTCAGAAGCCGCACGTGTTTACACTAACACAATAACAACGAGCAACACAAAGTATGAATATTTTCTGTCCTTTCTTCATTTTTGAGCTGCTCCACTCTCCTTCCTGCCTCTCTGAAAACCCTGGGGCCAGTAGACATTTCTTCCCCCAATGGACTTCCAAAGTGGCAGAACTACTTTGATGGGAGGAGGAAGAGAAAAGAGAGACAGAGAAAGAGAAGGGAGTGAGTGAATGTAAAACACTTGTGCATGAAGGATAAGTCTGTTTGGAGCCAGGAGGCAGGACCATGTGACTGCTGTGGTCCTTCCAGCAGATTCTGTGTAAAGCAACACAGACACCTCAGAGTCGTCATCATCGAGGTCTCTCGGAGGAGGGCAGGAGGCTTGAGTCTGCAGCAAGCTAATGATGGCTCTGGGTCCTTCCCAGAGGGGAACAGGCCAGCAGAAGAGAGAAAAATATATTTTAAATTAGGGGGGCAGGTGAAATGTAAAAATCAACAGTGCAGTCAGCTTCAAAGCTGTGAGGTACCCGGGTCTCTCTCGGGGATGGGCTTTCGGGCACACACACATCCAAAGGTCCTTCTTTCACTCTGAGGCAGGTGCAGGGAGGGGAGTGTGAAGAGGATCTGAAAGGCTCTGGTGGGTGTTGCCAGCAGGAGGGACCATGTAACCATGTGCCCAGTAACCATGACAATGGTTGGGCTTCTCGACCAGCTGTGCTTCCTGTCCGTGCCCCACCTTGCTCCAGAAAGGTCTGCGTTTAAAAATGCTGTTAGTGTGTGTGTGTGTTTCGTGCATGCTTGCACACGTGTGTGTTGGGTACATGCGTTTGTATGGGGGGCAGCGCTAAGGATAAGAGCAGGGGGAAGGAAGAAAATTAAAGATAAAATAAATTCTTAAAACCAGTTTTAGGACGAGAAGCTTGACCTGGCTTCCCCTTAGTCCAATATTGCTTTTATTTTTGCTTATAAAGACTAACACTCTTTCAAGGCGGGGGAAACCAGTAAGAAAAAGTTGACAGACTTGATATCGATGAGATATGTCTGTTAGATCAACACTTCACCTCATACTTAGAGGCGTGCGAGCCTGTAACAGAGCACTCAGCTGCCCACAGAGTAGGAGATTTATTTCACTGGCAGTTGCTTTGCACTTGATCTGTGTTCAAAAAATAAGCGTTGACTCGCTGCTTCCAAAACTAGTTAACCAGTAGCTGTTAAGTGGATTCCAACTCACGGCAACCCCATGTGTCACAGTCAAACTGTGCTCCACAGGGTTTTCAGTGGCTGATTTTTTTCCAAGTAGATCACCAGGCCTTTCTGCTGAGGTGCCTCTGGCTGAACTCAACCACCAACCTTCTGGTTAGCAGCTGTGCTTGTTAATAACCGCTTGCACCGCCCAAGAACTTCGCTTCACAGACACCCCTAAACCAGAATCCTGTTGAGGGTTTTAAGTGAGGGGCTTGGCAGAAGGGATACGTCTACCACTGGCCTGTCTTCAGGAAACTATAGTCTCCTAACATGAAAAATGTATAGAATTAAGGATGATGCATAACACAGAAAAGCCATTAGCCAGGTGCCCAGGCAGACCTGGCCACCCTCAGCTCAAATGCTTCGAATGAGTGGAGATGAGGTAGCGCCGCGGAGAGCGGGCAGTGATTCACCTCGGCCGGGGAGGGCGTGCTGCCCAAGCTGCACAGCATCATTGATCCTTCCGCGGGGCTCCTGACTGAGTCACACAGAGGCAGACGGTCGCCTTAGTTCACAGCGATAGCGTCAGTCAGCCTGGGGTGACCTAAAGGCTGGACGCAGGAACGTAGGCTATGGTGCTGGGGGTGGAGGGACATTAAGCCCCAGACACCGCAAGGGACAAGGGGCTCCTCTGAGCTGTCGCTTCCTTCCCTCTCAAGAAAATTAGGGCTGTGAGCTGGTTGTGGCTATTGGAGCTCGGCTACTCAGAAGCAGGGCTTTTTGTTGTCACTGTTTTGGTTGTTTTTGTTTTTAAATCACAAGCATCAAGTAGTTTCTCAGTTGGGAGGAAGGTGGAGGAGATAGTCCTTGGACCACCTGTATCGAAGTCACCAGAGATATTTGTAATAATGCTGACTTTCGGACCATTCCAGACCTTTCTCCTTCAGACTCTGGGAAGATGAGGTTGGGAATCGTATTCCAATGCTCACTAAATGCTGAGAGCCTTGGCGCAGAAGGTAGCCAAGGCTTTCATCAGCAGCCTACTCAGGGCTCAGGGGTGCCGCGCTAAAGTGTTCACTTTTTAGGAGGTCTGCTTCTCTTTTCCTTTCATACTATTTCTTGCAAAGCTTCATTCCTAATTAGTGAAAATATCACATTCCTGATCACCATCTCCAACCAAACTTGTTTGTCAAATGAAGACTGGAAAATCCAAAGACTCAGAGGGCTCTGGGGCCTTCAAAGCCCAAGAATTGATGATGGTAATGATGATAATGATGATGATAGAGCATAGCTACATGAGCAGCCACCACCCCTCACTCAGTGGAAGCTTTTGTGTTGCTATGATACAGAACAGTTTTCAGCAGAGCTTCCAGACTAAGACTAGGAAGAAAGGCCTGGTGATCTACTTTGGAAAATCAGCCAATGCAAACCCTATGGATCACAAGAATCTGATCCACAACCGATCATGGGGATGGCGCAGGATAGAGCAGCATTTCTGTTCTGCTGTGCACGGGATGGCCATGAGTTGGGGCCAACTCGACAGCAGTTAATAGCAACAACCATGTATTGACTGCCTATTAGTGCAAAGCACCAGTTTGGTGCTTTATATTCATTTCTAATACAACAATTTCGCCAGGTAGGTATTTACAGCTGAAGAATCTGAGTCTCAGGTTAAAGACCTTCCCCATGCCACAGGTCTGTACTCTTTCTACTCCACCCACCTTCTTTAACAGGGGAATTGCTTTAACAAATCCAGGCCTCGTTATGATTAAAAAAAAAAAAAAGGGTCAGAAAGCAGCTGTCTCTGAACTTTCCTATTTCAAAAGACCAATAACAAAACTCTGATATCATTTGAAAGATCAAAGTTGTTTCAACTGTGCTCCCATGTGAAATGGTGGAGCAATTATGCTCTAACTTTGTAAAATCTATTGTTATAATTCTGGAGTTTGGGTAATCATCATTACAGGCAATCATGATTAGCAACAGCTCTGTACTGCAGGTTGAGCCTGGGGGTGAGCTATCATCAGAACAGCTACCCCAAATAATTATCTCTGTAGTCAGAAACATTATGGGAATCCAGATCTTTCCCGTTCGCACAGAACACTGCAGAATTTGAGGGCAGGCAGAGTTGCATAATGTACTTGGGAGAAGCCAAGCGGTTTCATCGGTTTGCACTTTTGCAAAACTCTGCAACTGCATGCTATCAAGATACTTAATACGGTTCAACCTCAAACCTTGATTAAAAACAAGACGACTCTGAGCCAAAACTTCCGATTCTAGTAAGCAATTATTAACTGAGCACCAACAATACCTTAAACACCATCCTTGCCTGAAGAAGTACTGGACCCAAAGTTTTAGGCTCAACAGAACTCCAAGCTATGATTGATTTTCACTCACACATTCCCCTCACCCTCAACTGCTGAGCTTCAGAGATCACTGCAAGGTTGGGTTCCCATATACACCCACCCTAAACAACCAAGGCGGTATCATCTTCCCTCCAATCAATCCCTGGGCCCTGCTCTCTTGTTCCCATTCTCTTCCTCCATTTGTCCCGATACCATTTCCAAACATGATGCGAAAAGTGGAAGCCACTGCTTTGCAATAAACATTATCCACTCCAGATGGAATTATTTCCTGATGGCATGGCTCGGAGATCTTAAAGCCTTAGATCTGGAATCAGAATTGATATCTACTTTCAAAATGGACGGCTG